GCGCGCGCGGGTGGCGCGGCGTATTTCGCTATGATGATGCTGTTCCTCGAGCAGTGCTCCCTAGATGCTCAGCCCGACTTCGCGTGGCTACTGACACACCTGCCCGACCCACCGAACGGGCTTTTTCAAGAAAGAGCCGCGACTCCGACTGCAACTCTTCGGCCGTTCGCCCCGCTGGCCGATCAACGGCTAGTGGCGACCACGCTCGCGTATGTGAAGGAGCAGGACAGCCTCAGCCTAAAAAGGTCAGAGCTTCCAAAGCCAAAGGGCGCCCCGAAGGCCCCGCCCAAGGGGGAGACCGGGACGGAGTCCGCGGAGACTCTCTCGAGAAAGCAGTTGCGTGCAAAGCTCTGGGCCGCGAAGAAGGCCGGGGCCCAATCCTAGGAGCAAAGTCTTCTGCAAGCCCTCCTCCTGATGGTTCCGGTGCATCTTCCTCGCGCGCCGATGTGTTCCAGGAGAAATTAAGTTTTATCAAGTGGGCCGCAGCCCTGCCGAGGTTGCTTTTGAAGGCCCGGACGGGCTTTAGCCGCATGCTGAAGCTCTCTTTTTCTGTATGTTACCACGAGGGGGAGCCTCCCCCGCCAACCGCCTTCTTTCCTCTGCCTGTGCCCTACCCAGGGGTTTTTGGAAGAGAAAGCCCGAAGCGCTACCCTGCCAACAGGAAGGCCCTTTTGCAAAAGTGCCTCGTCGACCGCTGCGTGCACGTTGCCGTGATGGCCCTTAACTTTGTGCATTGCAACGGGAGGCAAATCCCGATGGAGGTTCTTCGGAGGCGGCCCAACCCTGCTCAGAGCAAAGTCTTTGCCAGGTTGCGCCAGCTCATTGAGGCGAGTAGCTGTGATAACAGTGAATTTGCCCTGGCCTCTGGACGCCGGGGCACGCATGTTCTAGCTCGCCTGGACGAGCTGCAAGCCTACCTCCTGTCCAATGGTGTCTCAGCCGAGGCCTATCAGCCGCCGGTGCCTAGCGGGACCACCGTCCCTCGTGATGACTCGGGGGCCCCTGCTTTGAAGCCTTACAGTGATGCCCGCGCCGACCGCCTGCTCATAACCGGGAGGGGCCACTGGGATATATCTCCTTTCCTTGGGCCTGAGCTCCAGCTTCCTTTCCTTGAGCCTCGGGTCCTGCTTGGTTGCGATACCTTTGCGCCCTACCCGGACACCTCTCGCGAGGATCAAGCCGAGCTGCTGAAGGTTTTTGCTCTTTGGGATAGCCTCGGGCTTCTATCAGTCGTGCCGGCCCCCTCCAATCCTCGTTCTCTGTGTCGCATCTTTGGTGCCTACAAGAGCCCTCTGCATGACAGAATGATCGGGGACCGTCGGGGACCAAATGGCCAAGAAGGGAGGCTGATTGGGGTTTCGCATGAGCTCCCGCAGGGCTCCTTGCTCTGCCTCTATTCCGTGAAGCCCGGCTTTGCCCTCTGTGGTGCCAGCACAGACCGCAGTGACTATTACCACCAGGTCGCCGTTAGCAAGAGCCGAGCTACCTCGAATGCCGTCGGCCCTCCGCTCCCTTTGTCTGCCCTGAGCACCACCTCTGCCTACGTCCGTTTTCTTCAAACTGGTGTTGCCGAGCTCCGCGCCCACGAAAACTGCGTGCTGGGCCGCTGCGGAAAGAAAGCCTTCAGCCTCGGCGTTGGGGATCCCTTGGTTTGTGGGGCGTTCTCTTCGCTCTTTCAGGGTGACCACGGCGGCGTTGAATACGCGACCGCGGCCCACGAAGGGCTACTGCTCGAAGCTGATTTGCTTTCACCGGAACAGAGGCTCACTGCCGGGAGGCCCCCTCCGCTCGATGACTGCGCCCAGGCGCTCGTCATAGACGATTTTTTCGCTGTGTGCCAGCTTCCCGCTTCGAACCTCATCGGTCTTCCCGAGGCCGAGCTGCAGGAGGTGTTGCACAGCAGCCCGGCTTCCGAGTGCATCCGGCGAGCGAAGACCGCCTACGGAAAGGTGTCGCTCGGCGGCTCTGACCGCAAGGACAACTACGGCTCCCTTAGGTACACCGTAGCCGGGGCCGAAGTTACATCTGATGCTCGCCTCGCCCAGCAAGGTACCGTGCTCGTCGGAGCGCCTCTGGCAAAAAGATTTGCCCTCTCGTATGTCTCGCTGAAGACATCCTGCCTGCCAGCCGTCTCCGAAGGTCTTGCTTCTTCTCTGCTCGGGGGGTGGGTTTCTTATATCCAATATAGGAAACCTTTCGGTTGTTTCTTGGATACGGCTTTTCGCCTCGCTGCTAAGGAGCCCAGCCTTGAAGGCTCCCCCCTTCGACCTCTGCCCAGGAAGGCCGCCTGCGAACTTTCACTCCTTGCTGCGTGCGCCCCCCTTATAGTCACGAACGTTGCTGTGCCGTATGATGACTATGTCTACTGCACCGACGCCTCTTTGGCAAAGGGTGCCGCCTGCAGGGCTTTAGTTGGGAAGGATTTGTCCGAGGCCCTCTGGCACTCCTCTCCCCGCCGCGGTCCGTTCGCTCGCCTCTCTAAGGAAGGGTCGCCCAGCAAGACACCGCCGAGCAGCCCGAGCTTTACCACCAGGAGTGCCGAGGTTCAGGTCGAGGAGAGGCAGGCCTACAGCAGCCGTGGTGTTACCGGGCGTGCCGAGAGACAGGTCGAGGCCTCCAGCAAGACACCGCCGAGCAGCCCAAGCTTTGCCGCTAGGAATGCCAAGGTTCAGGTCGAGGAGAGGCAGGCCCGCAGCAGCCATGTTGTTGCCAGGCGTGCCGAGAGACAGGTCGAGGCCTCCCCAGGTAGCAGCCCGAGTGTTGCCGCCAGGTATGCCGAGGATCAGGCCGTTGCAGTGCAGCCTAGCTGGTCTTGTGGAGGTGCCAGTCAGGAGAAGGTCCAGGTCGAGGTCAGGTATGCAAACAGCCCGCGCGCGACCCGAGGGGAAGTCGACTCAGGAACTTTCCAGGTGCATAGGTCTCTGAGACCCACCGCTTTTCAGGTTGAGGTGCCACCCGTAAGCGGTCAATGCTTCACGTACTTCAGGTCGTGCCGAAGGTCAGGTTAGGAGGGCACCGGACGAGAGCCCGAGCCCCGCCCTCAGGTTTGCGGAGGTCCAGGTTGCAGGTAGGGCCGTCAGCAGCCAGGGCGCCGCCAACAACAGTGCCGAGGTTCAGGTCGAGGCAGAGGCTAGGCCGGAGGAGCTTCAGGATGACACTAGCCCAGTCAACAACGGGGCTAGCAAGAGGCTCGGTCTTGATTATGGACTCTATAGTCTCTGCTGTTGCAGAAAGGGGTCTCAGGACGGGGCCTCGCTTCTCCTCTGAAGTTAGCCCTGAGCTCGATGTCACGAAGCCAGCTCCCCTCGAGGCCCTGCTGTGCTTGATTCCGAGGCGCAGGGTGAGGCGTGTGCTCATTGATCTCCCAGGAGGTTCCTTCAGTCGGGCCCCCAGGCCCCTGCGCTCAGGAGCGCCACGAGGCCCTTAGGAGCGAGCGGGAGGAGCAAAAGGGTTTGTGAGGAGAATCGGAGGGCCTCGCGTGCCTTTATCATCCTCGAAGCCTGCCACAGAGCAGGGGTCCCCTGTTTACTTCGTCAGCCCGCTGGCTCCTTGTTGTTCACCCTTTCCCCTTCCCCGGCGCCAGCTGACGAGAGTTCTGCCCCGGGTTTGGAGTCAATCCTCGTCGACGATGTGCTCCTGACTTCCTGTTGGGAGGTGCTTCTCGCCTGGAGGTGGGGAAGCAAAAGGCACATCAACGCCCTCGAGAGCGATGCCACTCTTGCTCTCTACAAGCGCATTGCCCTGGAGGGTGGTGACCGGCGGTGCGCCATCATCACTGATAGCTCCGTCGTGCTGGGTGCACACTCGAAAGGACGCACCTCAGCCCGAGTCATCAAGCAACCTGTCCGCAAAGCAAGCACCACTGTCATAGCAGGTGGGGTATACCCCGGGCTCTCCTTTGGCCCGACAAGATGGAACGTTGCCGACGACCCCACCAGGTCCGAGCCTCTCCGAAAGCCTTCTGGCGTCCCTCTCTGCTATGGCCTTAGCCGTGATGATCTTCGGGCCCTCAGCGCCCTGCGTGGTCTCAGCAAGCCTCGGGCCAACTGGGTTCGACTTGCCCTGGGCCTTTCCACGGCCTCTCTTGACGGGCTCCCAAGCCTCGTTTCGGCCCTTCGGGCCTTCCCCTCGGGCGCGAGGTTTTTAGCCCTCCCCGAGTTTTCTCCACCTGCTTCGATGGATTTCGATCAAACTTTGGGCTTTCCCGGGGCGAGGGACCTTTTTCCTCATCCGCTTTTGGATTTTTGCTTCTGCTCTTTCCCGCAGCCGGTATGATTACCCCGCGCAATCAAGATGACCTTTTTCGCCAAGGCCGCCGTTTCTCCTCCCTGCCCCTCGGAAGGCCGGTCCAAGCTGCTACCTCCTCTAGAAGGGTTGTTCTGGTTTCCTCCTTTGAGCAATGGCTTCAGGAAGTTACAGGGCGAGCTCTGGGAAGCTACTTCGAGGCAAAACCCTTTGACACCGAGAACTTCGTCGAGCTCATCATCGCTTTTGGGAGGGATTTGTACAACAGTGGCAGGCCTTACTGGCACTACTCAGAAACCATAAACGCCCTCACAGCCTTGAAGCCCGCCCTTCGGAGGGCCTGTCAGGGAGCATGGGATTTGGCTTTTACTTGGTTGGCTGACGAGCCCTCTTCTCACCACCTCGCGCTCCCTCCGATCCTGCTCATGGCGATCTTAGGAGTGTGCTTGGCTTGGGGATGGGTTCGTGAAGCTGCTATTTTTTCTCTTTCGTGGGGCGCTCTGCTACGAATTTCGGAGGCCACCTCTGCTACAAGAGGACACCTCGTTTTTCCGAAGGACGCCCTGTGGATGCAAAGCTATGTGCTGATCAAGATAGATCAACCTAAAACTCGGGGGCGTGCCGCCAAACACCAATCTGCAAAACTGGAGCCCGCCGACTTGGTTGACATCGTAAGAATGGCTTTTCAGGAGCTCCCGAAGCACTGCAAACTTTGGCCTCATGCCAATCAGACTTTGAGAAGACGACTGGATGCAGTGCTTAAGCGGCTTGGGATCTCCGGGTCATCCTCTCACGAGCGGGGGGTTGACCTGGGGTCCTTCCGCCCCGAGAACGCCACTTATATACTACAAAGAACTGAGGACTCGGAGCTCGTGCGACGCCGTGGACGCTGGGTCTCTATGAAAGTCATGGAGATTTACCTCCAGGAGGTAGCATCGTCCACATACGTAGCCGACCTCCCTTTGCAGAGTCGTGAAGCCGTCCTCTACATGGCCCAGCTCTACCCCGAAATCCTGAAAACAACAATGCGGTGGAATGAAAATAATATACCCAGCTCTAGCTGGTGGTACCTTTGGCCATAGGCTCACCGTGTGCGCTTTGGTGGGAATGGGTCGATGCTTTTCCGGCCTACGG